ATGTAGGTGTGATGTCATGTATGACGTGTTGATGACGCGTTTATGATATCATGATGAAGTCATATGGAATGTCCGGGAATGTCATGGAATGATTACGTAAGTCGGGTAAGTAAAGTAACCAAACCGGGTCATGTGACCGGTTATTGAGGTAGCCGGTCACGTGACCTATTGCACCAAGAAGTGAAGCTGTGACTTCAATGACGATGCATGAAATGTAAGTAAATCATAAGTGTCATGACTGGTCATGCTGTTGTGAATGCGATCACGACACTACCCCCCCCCGGTTTAGGCTCCAATGTCCTCATTGACAAATTTGTTGAGCCGCGAGTGGAGTTCAGGCTCAGCCTCGGTATCGTTTTCGCGTGGAATAAATAGTCGATTGAATAAGTTAGGGTCAATCCCCCTTAGCCTCCGCGGCGCCGAGGGTTTTTGAGTTTCAAACTCTTTTAACTTAGCTTGAGCGTTCGTTAAGTTAGATGCAGGTTCCCAGGTCCTTGCATCGTCATTGTAGCCCTTCCAGTGGACTAGATATTCTAATTTGTGCCCGCGCAGTCTAGAGTCGACGATCTTCTCGACTTCATACTCCGCATGACCTTCCTCATTAACCTCCGTGGGTCCAGGATGATCGGTGCGTTGCCCGTCGAGTCGATCAATAAATGGTTTGATGCGACTTACGTTCACAACCGGGTGACAGCGCATATGAGACGGGAGTCGCAGTTCTACTGCATTTGGTCCCATTATTTTAATGATGGAGTATGGACCAAGCCAGCGCTCCGCTAGTTTTCTTGATGGTCTGTCCACAAGGTTGAGATTAGATGAAGATAGCCAGACTTCATCTCCAATCTTGTATTCAGGTGCATCACTCCTTTTCTTATCCGCGGATTGTTTCATCTTCTCCTTGGTCCGCTCCAAGGCCTTCCTCGTGACCTCTAGGGTTTGTTCCATTTCTGCTTTTGTCTTGGCCACTGCCTCGACCTTCCCTTCAAGGGGTTCTACTCCCATTCTTGGTGCATAGCTCCTAGTAACCTCAAACGGTGATTGACCAGTTGCTGAGGTTCTAGTGTTGTTGTGCGCAAATTGCGCCAGCACTAGCCAATCAGCCCACGTGGATTGACTGTCCGAGCAGTACATGCGAAGGTACTTTTCCAACTCCTGGTTGACTCGTTCGGTTTGACCATCCGTCTGCGGGTGATAGGCCGTAGAATAATTATTTTTGATGCCCAACACCTTCGCAAGTTTTCGTGAGAATTCGCTTGCGAATTGAGGACCTCTATCTGACACTACTGTTTCGGGTAGGCCATGATCCTTCCAAATATGGTCTCTGTAAAGACAGGATAGTTCTTTCAAAGAGACTTTGTCTGTAGTGGGTATAAATACCGCTTCCTTGCTAAATCGGTCGACTACAACCAGGATCGCAGTGTGCCCTCGCGATTTTGGTAATCCTGTGATGAAGTTGGCCGAAATGTCCTTCCAAGGGCCCGTAGGCGTAGGCAGCGGCTGCAGTTTGCCCGCCGGTGCTTTGCCCATGCCCTTGTTTCTTCCACACCTCTGACACGCTCCGACGTACTCCTGTACCGTGTCCTTCATGTCCTTCCACCAATAATTATGTTGCAATAATTCCAGCGTGTGTTCTACACCTGGGTGCCCAGCACTTGGGTTGTCATGATGCATGTCTAGCAATTGCATGCGTAACATGTGATCATGCGGCACAAATATTTTATTATTTACATAACATAAACCGTCCTTGATTTCCACCTCCTTGTTTTTGGTGTTTATAAGGGTTATGTCTATATTTTTGGATTTCCGTCTAATCGTTGAGAGTACGTCCATAGTCTTCAACTTGAGATTCTGGATACTATGCCAATCTACGTTTTTAAATGGTGGTAGCACCGTTATCCCTTTGTTTTCATCTCCCACGCCCTCTGCGTGATCCTCTCTCCTACTCAGGGCATCGACCTTGCCCATGGACGATCCCTTTTTATAGATAAGGTCATAATTAAATCTGGTAAGGTATTGCCACCATCGTGCCTGACGACGATTGAGGTCTTGACTTTTCATGAAGTACGTCAAGTTTGCATGGTCGGTCCAGACCTCAAATTTGATGTGAGACCCTTCCAAATATTGGCGCCAAGCTTGTAGCGCTCTTAAAATAGCCAAAAGTTCTTTGTCGTAAATAGGGTAATTAAGCTCTGCCCCTGTCAGAGCATGTGATATGAATGCACACGGGTGCCACTTTTCATCCTCTAATAATATCGAGAGCACTGCTCCAGTCGCAAAGTCAGAGGCATCAGCTTCTACTCTCATTGGACAGCTATTGTCTGGGAATGCGAGTATAGGCGCGGTTGTAAATGCCTTTTTCAACTCCTCGAATGCAGCATTCTCTACCGTCCCCCACTCCCACCTCTCATCCTTTTTTGTTAAGTTATGCAGAGGTCTGGCTATTTTACCGAAGTCTTTGATAAACCGACGGTAGAAATTTGCCAGTCCTATAAACGATCTGACTCCTTTGGCATTCTTGGGAGTTGGCCATGAGGTAATAGCTTCGACCTTGCTCGAATGCATTTCTACCTTTCCTTTTCCAACCAAGAATCCCAGGACGTCAACTTGTTCTACCGAGAATGAACACTTCTCTGGTTTTATGAACAGATCGTTATCTTTGAGTCTCTGCAAGACTTCTTTTACTTTTTTCAAATGGGTGTCTCTATCGCCATCTTTGCTGAATATAAATATATCGTCTATATATACAACCACACAATCGTCCATATCACCCAGTATATCATTCATCATGTTCTGGAATGTAGCGGGCGAATTACATAAGCCGAAATACATTACTTCTGGTTCAAAGGAGCCCAGAGGCGTTGTGAACGCTGCCTTCCACTGATCCCCATCTTTGATTCGTACATTGTTGTAACCCCAACGTAGATCCATTTTGGTGAACAGCTTTGCTCCTTTTAACCGGTCTATGAGATCTCCGATCAACGGAATTGGATAATTATTTTTAACCGTCCACTCGTTTAAATATCGGTAGTCCTGCACCATACGCTTTTTACTGTCTTTCTTGGGGATGAAGAACACAGGAGAAGTCTGCGGAGATTTGGAGGGTCGGATGTATCCTTTGTCCAATTCTCCTTTGATGAAATCTCGAATCTCTCCTAGTTCTTCTTCTGAAAGGGGAATGAGCCTCCCCTTTCTGGCGGTAAAGCCATCCATGAGCTCGATAGTGTGATCCCGTGCTTTTTGCTCTGGCATGCGTTCTGATGCAATTTTTGAAAACACCGATAGGTATTCGTGTAAGGTCGGAGGCACCAAGGCTGCAGGATCATCTTGTGTTTCCGCTTTCTTGGCGTCTATATTGTCCTCGATCCTGCGGATGATTCTATAGATAGTTTCGGCAGAATCAATCTCCGACTCTTTCTCCGCTTTCCTCCACTTGGGTTCGGGCCACAGCTCGAAGCAGTTGTTTGGACACCAGGACATTTTGACGTCTCCGGTTTCCCAATTGATCTCAGGGTTATGGTGCACTAACCAGTTGAACCCCAGGATCATGGGCATCTTCCCAAGCTTTGTGACTTTGAACTGCACCTTCTCTCTATGTCCCTTGTATTCGATCACAAGTTCTAACGAGTGTGTGATGCTACCCGCTGTATTCTTGGATCCATCCACATTGAATACCGTAATGGGGTGTTCCTTCTTTGTGAACTTGAAGCCCTGCTTCTTTCCCCAATCCCAATCTATAAATAGCCCTGTGGCTCTGGAGTCGAGTAACGCCGAGCAAGCAATCTCGCGATTCTCTTGTCGCACAGTCACGGGCATTAGTATCTCTCTGTCCATATTGTAAGTCCGTATCAATTGTACCGGCGGGGATTTTATAGATATAGTGTCTATAGTAACTAATTTTTTATGTATTTCTTCTATTGGGGAATTAAGCACGGATTTCCCACTGCCAAGCTGGGTTTCGCAAGGTTTTTCATTTTCGGGGGCCTTGGAACTCTCCATACATCGACTGGCCACTGGTTCGGGGGTCCTGCAGGATCTCTGCTGCCAGCCGATCCCAGTGACATCTAACTCCTTTTGGGAGCTAGCCCCTACTGTTGCGTGGGCGACGTCTGACTGAGGATAAATACTAGGCGCTCCCCTACTTCTTACTTCTTGCTGCGCGAACTCAGACCCCCCTTGGGTGTGCATGCCCTGGTGGGACATTAAGTCCGCTTCCAGGTCTTCTATCGTACACTCACCGAGTACATGGTACCTATTATAATTAGGAGTGTCTTTCAATGCTACACTGTTTGAATAGTTCGTAGAGTCCCGATTACCCCGCTCATCGGAGCTCATTATCCGTTTAAAGATTCATAGTCCCTGAAATAGGCCCTAGCGGCCTCGAAGTCCATGTCCTTGGTCGCGGCTTGCCACCGTAACGGGGTAGCACTGCTCCCTTGTTGTGCCTCTGCTGTCTGAGGCTGCTCAATCTTTTGACCCGTATATGGGTCGTATAACGCATGGGCTTGGTAACCCGTGGCGCCCTGTGGGCAACTTCCACGTTGCTGCTGCTGCCCCTGTGGCTGACCTCCTCCCTTCCTCTGCGGACAGTCCCGCGCGAAATGCGGGCCTTGGCAGGTGAAACACCCTCCTTTAGGGCCATTACTTTGCACTGCCTGTGCGGCCCCGATGTCCATTGGTTCACCCATGTACGGGGGTGCCCGATAATTTGGCGTCGAGGTTAACGGCTTTGGCTCGTAGTTGACCCTCCTCTTCCCGATCGCGATGTTGTACTCCTCAATCCGGATTCCAATGATGCGTACCGCAGCGTACACCTTCTTGAGATCCTTCTCGTGTTGACCCCCCACCCGGTACAGCTCTTCCCGAATGGGGTTGCTCATATTCTTGATGAGCAAGTCGATTGCGTGACCGTCTTCCACCTTGCCTTGTTCCTTCAGGATGAAGAACTCGGCCAGCCACTCCTCCACTCTTCTTTCTCCCATACGGAGGCCCAACAGCTTCTTCCTTTCCCAGTCCTTGGTGGAGCTTGGAAGGAATGCTTCCGAGATGAGTTTGAGCATCTCGTCTTCGGTGGGCCAAGGTTCAGATCCACCCTTGTACAAGTCAATGTGGTATTGCGCCCACTTGGCTGGGATCTTCCCCTTCATCCGTGTGAGAATTGCGGAGGACTTGTCAAAGTTGGTTGGTAGCGCGGAGGCGTTAGCGTATAGCCAAAGCCCCATTCTGCTCCTCCAGGGAGCAAAGTTGCCTGGTTCTCCGTCAAAATCACCGGGGTCCTTTACCCCGACGATCTTCTTCTCGATTGCAGCCGGCCCAGGCTGTGCATGCTGTATGGCCTGGTAGGCAGCCAACTGACCTTGCAGACGTGCGATCGTTGCCGCTTGTTGTTGCGCCAGGTCGTGAGTTTCCTGGCGCTGCGTGGTCAACGTGTTGATCTCTTCTTGCGCGTCTCCAAGATCCGCCGCAAACTGGGCCTGCATCCGGTCTAGTTGACCCCAGATGGCGATGGTCTGCTCGAGGTTGAATCCGTCATAAGGGACCGTCGGAGGAGGCATTGTTCAAAACAGTTCGAGTGTTCAATACGAAGAACAATATAAAAATGCAAGTAAAGTAAACAGCGTCGGGCCGCTGTGACTTGGTTGGGGCCAATAGCCTTTCCCCACACCTGACTATAGTAGAGAGAATACAGGAGATACTCCAGACAACGAGATGCACAGGTGACTTCTGTGTCGTTGCTGGCGCGAACGTCGGGCGGGCACAGGCGATCCACGCTGCTAAGCAACAGATCGTGGTAAGGACTATAGACCCAATTGGGATCCTAGTTTCCCCGCTCCTATAGACTAAGAGCAACCTGCGTGGCCTCCCTTTTGACAATTTTTCGAGTGAAACGCGGACCCTTAGGGAAGCTGCTTGGCTAGCCCTGGTACGTCGTTCCTGACCACAAAGCCTCCAAAAGCCGTACTACGAGGAGTCGCGGTGTGCAGGTCTTTGAGGACCGCTTTAACCACTGGTCTCTACTCGGTTCAGACCTCGGGATGGTGGCACTCGCTATTTACTGTCCTACTGCCCTACAACAAGTGCGCCTCACGAGGACGCAGCCGAAGCCAAAGAAATTGAAAACTATTGTATGAGGTGGCGGTTAGCCAATCAGGAGCCTCGCAGACTTCCCTGCCTCGCGCTTTGCCACCCGGCCTAATGCCCTGGTACGTTTAAGGGCCTAGTGCCCAGCTCTTACGTAAAAGGTATAAACGGGGTCCCGAAAGAAGCTGACTCTCAGCAGTATGTAAAGCAGGCTCCGGGTCGACGCTCAACCAAAGGGGTTCCGGTGAATACGCCCCGGAATGCGGCAGAAGTTGGTTTAGGGGGTAGAGGGAAGTGAGTTCTTTTGTGAGCGACTCCTAA